TCACACAGCAGCCTGAGGGAGCTTTCTCAAGTACGCATCTGAAGTTCCATCCCTACTTAGAACCCTTTTCTAGCTTCTTCTGGCATGATACAGTCCAGACTCTATGTGTCTGGCCCTTCCCTGCTTGCCTCGCCAGCCTGTAGGCTATGTGCCATGGAGGCCAAGGGCCCCTGATCCAGAGCCAGATGGCTCTACCGTGTCCCAGCTGTGTGACCTTGGGCAAGCTTCTCTCTGCTCAGCTTTCTCTTCTGAAAATGGGGATAATGGTAATAGAAACTACGTCATAGAGTTGTTGTGAGGATTAAATGAGTTACTCCAGCCCTGGCCGGTGTGGCTCTGTTTAGTGTTGTCCTGTGCCCTGAAAGGTCGCCGGTTTAATTCCTGGCCAGGGCATGCCCAGGTTGCAGGCTTGATTCTGGTTGGGGTGCATGTGGGAGGCACCCAATCGATGCGATGTTTCTCTCTCACATTGATGCCCCTCCCTCCCTCCCTCTCCCTTCCCGTCTCTCTAAGATCAATACAAATAAATAAATAAATAAATAAATAAATAAATAAATAAATAAATAAAAATTTTTAAAAGAAGGGAAATATTATTTTTTAAAAAAGTTATTCCATGTAGAGTCCTTAGAATAGTGCCTGGCTCTAGTCGGTGCTCAATAACTATTTCCTGTTTGTACTTCTTCACACGGTGCATATGTCCACTACTCTTCAGTTACACAGCCTGGGCCTCTCCTGTCCTCTGGTTGACTCCTACTTCTTCCTGAGCCCCCAGCTAGGGCCCTGTCCCCTGTGCTATTCCATCCTAACTTTCCTGGCGATTGATGTCTTTCCTTGTAAACTGTACCCCCTTTGAGGGCAGGGATTTGACTTTCTCATCTTTGAGTTTATACCACTGAGCTAGGTCAGTGCTTAGTGTTTGTCAAATGAATAAATGAATACAATTATCATGATGGTATTTTTATCTTCATGCTCATATTTATCAAATCAGAAGTTTTTTTCTTCTTTTTCAGAAAAAGTATCCTAATTTCAAACTCTCAGTAAGTTTCTAGCAGTTTCCAAAGAATCCAAGCAATAAAAGGTTAAATTAGCCCAAGAGACCTAATAACCTAATGATATAATTGAGATTAATTTTTAAAAGACATTTTTAAATACAGTCTTCATCATAAATCACTGACCTCTTATTTTCATCAGGAGACATTTGTTGTTGGCCCCCCCCCCTTTCTCAGTTCTGGGACTGCCTAGTGTACACAGAATGGGAAAGGAGAGAAGGGAAGAAGACCAGAGAAACATTTCTTAATGAAAAGGGCAGCTGTGCCTGGCTGGGCGTGGCTCAGCAGTTGAGCATTAACCTAGGATCCAGGAGATCGAGGTTCGATTCCCAGTCAGGGCACATGCCTGGGTTGCGGACTTGATCCCTAGTCGGGGGCGTGCCGGAGGCAGCCTATCTATTGTTGAGACCATGACAGATGTCCCCTTTATAACCCCACTGATCCCCTCCACCCCGCATCCATCCCACCCCCAGGCCCTCCCCACACCATTGTCCCTGGCCATGGGCCATGCCCATAAACACACAAGTTCCCTGATTAATCTCCCCCCACCCACACCTCCCTCCCCGCCTTCCCTCTGAGATCCCTCAGTTTGTTCCAAGCTTCTATGTTACTAGGTCCACTTTGTTCATCAGTTTATTTTGTTTATTATATTCCACATATAAGTGAGATCATTTGGTACTTGTCCTTCTCTGACTGGCTTATTTCACTCAGCATAATACTCTCTCATCATTGATGTTTCTATCTCTGTCTCTCCCTTCCTCTTTGTGAAATCAATAAAGATATTTTTAAAAAAGAAAAAGAAAAGGGCAGCTGTGTAGGTGGTGGGTAGGGGGTGGAGAGCATGAATTTCTGTCATAACGATCCCTGGCTTCTATCCATCCCCAGCTTCTGTCTTGATCTCCCTGATGCTCCGATCCCTGCCTGCCCTCTGGTGGACAGTCTGTGAAATAGGCCTTCAGTTGGGCAACAAGCAAGTGACTATGGCAGGCAGGCCAGGGCTCCCTGAGCTGGACAGGAGCGGTTTATGCGTCTGTGCCTGTGCCTCTCATCCTTCTATTCCTGCACCATCTATCTGCATAGATAAACTGACAGATAGACAAATTACTAGGGTTTGATTCTGGGCTTAAATATTTTGAAGTCAAAATTTTTTTTTAAGTTAAACTTATGTGAAAACTCAATTTATAGTAAGTTTTTAAAAAGTGCAGTAAATAAAATGCTGACAAGGTGAGTTAAAAAACAATGAAGGTGTCTAAAATATTACACAATAAGTATTTGAGAGAAAAAATAAAAAAGGTTAAAATCAGTTAATATAGTCATTTCTGTTTTAAAACTTGGCTAATACTGTTTTTGTGTTTTGTTTTTTAAATCTTCACCCAAGGAGAGGATATTTTTTCCATTGATTTTTACAGAGAGAGGAAGGGAGAGAGAGAAGCGCTGATGTGAGAGAGACACATTGATCGGTTGCCTCCTACACACACCCTGCAACCCAGGTAGGTGCCCTTGACTGGGAATGGAACTCAAGACCCTCCAGTGTGCAGGCAGAGCTCTAATCACTGAGAAACCCTGGCCAGGGCAGTAAATACTGTTTTAAAAAGTCACTTTCATGCAGGGAAGATGGGATCGATGGGGGGCGGGGGATCTGTAATATTTTCAACAATAAAGAATTTTTTTTTTAAAGTTACTTTCATTGACGATAAATGTAGCACTTTTACGGGGCCACAATTTAACCTCTTCTCTCTAGTGGGAGCAAATCTGTTCTTCCTGCAGCTGGGTTTGTTTCTGTACATGCAATTGTAATCAAGTTGCATTTTACTAAGCACTTGCCTTCTGCAGGGGAGGAGGCTTCTCAACTCTGGGAAGCCAAGTTACTGTCTTCTGCACTTCCAAGGAGAGCTTGGTGAGGACTGTTCTTTTGAGACTAATAATAGTAATTGTAGCTAACAATCCTCTGCGGATGCTCTTATGGGAGAATTCCTCTACCCATATTAACCCAGGCCTTGGTACCCTGGGATTCAGGGTGGGGGAGATTGCCAGGAGTGGGACCAGCCTGGGGCCAGGCAGCCCAGGCCTCACCTCAGTTCCTGTCACCTGGTCTGCAGGGTCTTGTTTGCTGCTATGTATCCAACACTGTTCTGGGCACCCCTGAGATACCAGGGTGGGTGGATGGTCATGAATGTCGCTTTTCTTGCTCCTCTCTACATATATTTTTTCAGGAACTTCACAAGGGCATTCACCCCATTCCCAAGTCTGAACTGGCTCTTAAAAAAGGAATCACTGGTGGGATAGGAGGAGGGAAATTGAATGGTGGTCAAAATCTTTTTTTGTATCAACAAAAGACAGTGTGTGTTAACGAAACTTATTGTGGTAGTCGTTTCATGCTACATTTAAGTCATCATTGTGCTGTACACCTTAAACTTACACAGTGCTGTGTGTCAGTTATAGCTCAGTAAAGCTGGAAAACAGAAAGGAACCACTTTCCTCCTGTACTTACTGACACTAGCCTCCAATTTGGCTGCCTTGCCTCCTTGTGTTGGCAGCGTATATTCCCCATCTTAGATGAATGCGCATCTTTCTGCGGTCCTTCACTATCACTGAATTCTCGGACCCCAAGGAGGACACTAGAAGAGTTCATGAGCAGCACTGGTGGGCAGAATTTGCCTCACCCCTTCTCTGGGCCCTCTCCTCTGCCAGCTCCCTGAACTGAGGAGAGAGGCGTCCAGCTCAGACCCTGTCTGTCGAGTGGACTGGGAGGAGGAACAGGATCTCCCATGTCTAAGCCAAACCCGGTTCAAGCCACAATTACCTGGTTTCAAGTCCAGCCCCACTTGGCCGGGCATCATATGTCCTTTCACATTCCTCCATGTAGCCACAGACTGCGTGGCTAGTGGGGCCAGCAGCAAAACACCAAGATGTTGCCCTGGCTGGTGTGGCTCAGCTGGTTAGAGCGTCATCTTGTACACTGAAAGGTCGCGGGTTCGATTCCCAGTCAGGGCACAAACTCAGGTTGCAGGTTCTATCCCCAGTTGGGGTGTGTATGGGAAGGAATTTTTGTGTAGGATGGAGAGGCCTAGAGAGCCATGGGAAAGGGAAGACCCAGCAGTAATCTCTTGGGTGGGGAAGGAGGTGGGGGCTATGCATTGGGTTCCAGGTACCTATCCCTGTTTGTCCACTGGTCCACCTACCTGATCCACACTGCTGAGGAGCATCTGGACCCACAGTAAAGCATAAACATGAGCTTTCGTGCCTTCAAAGACTGCTGCTTTCTGCAGGTCACTTGAACATTTCTTCATTCGAGAGGCCTTCGCTGTGCCCTACAACTTAAAGATGATCCCCATGATACACTCTCTCAGCCCTGGAATCCCAGAAGCACTCTCTACAAGTGGTCATCACATTCACGTGGGTTTCTGTGTTTGCTGCCATCTCCACTGGAAGCTCCAGGGGCCACACCACCCAGTGCCCGGGGGGTGACCAGCACATAGCAGGCACTCAGGGCCTGCAATCTGAGTTTTAAAAAGCCCTCCTAGTGATTTGATGTTTAGTAAAGTTTAAGAACCAAAAAACGTTCTGGGGTCTCCGAAGACACTGAAGCTGCTGAAAACACTAACCTGTTGCAGACATCTATCTGGGTGAGTGGCAAGAAGCCCAGCAGCTACTATTGGCTTGGGTCCTGCCTCCAGGACCCAATTGTGACTCATCCTTAAGGGGGAAAACACCTGAACTCAGCTGAGACTTGGAAAAGGGGAGACTGGTGGGGACTGGTGAGGCTGAGCCATCAATCCTTGTCCGGGGTTGCAGATGAGACGTTTTGCATCCACTGCTTCTAACCAGGGCAATGAAGACAAGGCCTAGAGCCCTGTGGTAACAAGCTGGGGTGCCCAGGCAAAAGCCGATGACCGATGACTGCCTGTGTGTTTGACCCGCCCCACCTTTGCCTTCTCTCTTTCCCACCAGCTACCAGAGATTCACTGACTGTTACAAACGCTTCTACCAGTTGCAACCTGAGATGACACAGCGAATCTATGACAAGTTTATAACTCAGTTGCAGACGTCTATCTGGGTGAGTGGCAAGAAGCCCAGCAGCTACTGTTGGCTTGGATCCTGCCTCCAGACTGTCACCTGCCTGGAGGCAGGACGCAAACCTCCACCTTCTCTCCTCATTCCCTGTAATTCCTTTGTGCCCGTCAGGCTGCAGTGGCAGTTGTCCCTCCCTTCAAATGACATGGGTATCTTAAATGCCCCTTCTGGCATTGTCCGGTATTGTAATTGTGTGTTTATATGTTGTCTGCCCACTAGACCTGGGAGTTCAGCGAGGGCGTGCCCGGGTCTTACTCTTCTTTGTATCTCCAGCACCCGGTGCAATGCCTGGCACAGAGGCGGCACTTACCAAATTATTGAATCAGTGGAACTGCATACAAGAGGGAACAGAGAAAAGGACAGGGTTCCACTCATGATCTCTCTAGAGAATTCAGTTGTCATGTGGTTACACTTCAGGATGAGCCCCTTCAGCATCCACGTGCGTGTGGCATCAGCAAGAGCGTGGGGATAACAGCGAGGCCTGCAGCGCTCAAATGATGGGCAGAAGGAGAGGCTTGCTGCGGGCTCTTTTTAAATGTTTTCTACTTCATCCTATTCTTTTTTATTTATTGATTTGAGAGAAACATTGATTTGTTGTTCCACTTACTCACCGCCCACAACCGTGGTGTGTGGGGACAACACTCTGACCGACTGATCTACCTGCCGGGGCCTAGCCCTCGTTTTCTTAATGTAAAAGTCACATCTAGGAAAACTGGAATGTTCATATAAAGACACAACAGAATTTAGCCCAAATCTTACTAAATGCTGTTAGTTTAGCATGTTTGTACTATAGGCTTGTCTAGTATCATTATAGCTCTTTCTTCCTTTCTCTTCAGGAGGAAATCTCTGAAATCAAAGCAGAGGGAAACCTGGAAGCTGTCTTGAATGCCTTGGATAAAATTGTGGAAGAAGGCAAAGACCGAAAGGAGCCCGCCTGGTGAGAAGGACCATGGGAGGGCTCGTGGAGAAAGAGGCAGCATTTCAGAATCTTGAAGGAGCTTTTGTTTGTTTGTTTTGTTAATCTTCACCCAAGGATATTTTTTCCATTGATATTTTTTAGACAGAGTGGAAAGGAGAGAGGAGGAGAGAGATAGAGCAACATTGATGTGAGAGAGACACATCAATTGGTTGCCTCCCACACGCACCAGGGATCGAACCTGCAACCCAGGTATGTGCCCTTGACCAGAATCGAACCCACAACCCTTTGGTGCTGCTGATGCTCTAACCACTTAGTCACACCAGACAGGGCTTGAAGGAGCTCTTATGATGGACCCATATGCATGAGACTGTGGGCTCTCAGGGAGAGGACCCTGTGACAGGGACAGGTGGAGAGGACAGACACCAAACAGTAACCCAAAACAGTGAAATGTATGGCTCCCTCTGGGGGAAGAGAGCCCCGGGCAAGTGCATGCTGTCCAGACGTTTGAGGCTGACAGAGGGAAACCTTCCTGGGAGCTCATTTCAGAATCTAGCCTATGGGAGAAGGGATGGGGGAGTGGGAGAAGGCAGAATCGTAGGTTTGCATCTGGTTTTTATTCATTTGTTCATTCAGCAAACATTTAGGGATCATGGACTGTACACTCAGTAGTGTTTTAGATGCCAGATATTCAGCAGTGACTAAGACACAAAAGACCTGCTTCCCCTGGAGCTCACATGTCAGTGGGCAACCCTGCTGCCTGGTACATCCTGTGCAGGATGGAGAACGGGGCCCTGTGATGAGGAGTGGAGAATTGAGGTCACCAAGACCACTTAAAATAATTAAGTTTTATAACTGAAAAAGAAAATTTAAAAGAATCTGTAGTGGCTTCCACCTCAGTGTCTATTAGAATTGATGCATCTCCTCACTCTGGGCATCCAGAACTCCCTATAATCTTGCCTGCCCGGACCTGTCTTTCCTTATCTTCCCTTGTTAGCTAATACCAGGACCTCTCCAGGTCTGGGCCCCCTCTCAGGCAGCCACTCCATCTGGGAGGGCTCGCCCTGCCACCACCATCTGCACACCTCTCCAGCTCAGTCTAGAGTGAGTGCACCATCAGGGCACATGTTCAGAAGGACAGAGGCAAAGGCTAGAAAGTCACCTCTAGCCCTGGAGTGTTAGAGATGGGGGAGTGTGTGTAGATAAGAGGAGGAGACTCGGGTATGGCTGGGAAGGCTAAGATACGGGCTGTGTGAGAAGGGGGAGAGGTGGATTCCTGGGCACTGAAACAGAGGGACAGGTTAGCGTTTCCATCAGGAGCAGGAGCCATGTAGTTGGGTCTCAGGAGGTGAGAGGGACCCCAGGAGAAACCTTGAAAGCTAGTCCAATTTGAGATTGGAAGTGGGAATATCACTGATTAGAACTGGAATTAGAACCCTCATCCCACACACGTCTTCCCCCTCCCCATCCTGTGCTGCTTGCCACTCTCCAGGCGCCCTAGTGGGATCCCAGAGAAGGACCTGCGCAGCACCATGGTGCCCTACTTCCTGCAGCAGCGGGATGCCCTGCAGCGCCGTGTGCAGAAACAGGAGGCTGAGAACAGGCAGCTGGCAGATGCCGTCCTGGCTGGGCGCAGGCAGGTGGAGGAGCTGCAGCTGCAGGGCCAGGCCCAGTGGCAGGCCTGGCAGGTGAGTGCCTTGGCCCTGCCCTCAGGCACCTGGTCCCCTGCTGCAGCAGAGGAGAAAACAGACCAAGAGAGGTCAGACGATGAGGGGGTCACTTTGGGGGCCCTTTTCGAAGATGGACTCTGCTCTGGGGAGGCCCAGCCTAAGTGGCCAAGGCACCCAGCCTGCCATAAATACCTGCTGAGTGTAGGGGGAAGGGACCTCCTTACATGCCCCGCTGTGCCTGTGAAATGAGCCACAGACTCATACCATTCTGGGGAATCTAGGCCTGGGGGCAAGGACAGTAGACGGAAAGGGTTTGGATTTTCTCCTCTCCCAGTTTGTCTCTTCTCTCCCATTGATGGCAGGCTCTACACAGAGGACAGAAGGAGCTGGTGGCCATGCTGAGGGAGCCTGAGTAAAGGGAAGATGGCCAGGCCCAGGAGCCGAAGGTGGTCAAGGTCAAGGGCCTGTGGCAAGCTGCCTTTTGAGAACAGCTAAAATGTTGCCCAGTCCCTAAGCAGTGATGGAATTTGCTGGGGGTGAGGCCTGAGCAGTCCCCACTGCCACTGTGCCTTGGGGCTTCCTTGAGGTCACACACACACTACCCTGATTCCTCCCTGTTTCCTTCTAACTTGAGGATTCTTAGCCCAGGTCCCACCTGGGAATCAGGCACCGTGCCTTCTCTCCTCTGGGTTCTGACCAACACCTCCACCCCACTCCACACTCGCCTCCCAGTTCCTTATCCCTCCCTAGGTCCTGGCTGGGGGATCTGTTTTCAGTCTCCACTGATTGCCCCTTTCTGGCCAGCCGAGGGCCTATGCCATGTTCTCTCCACATCCTTAAATAAACTTCCTCTACTACACTGTAATCTTGAGGATGCTTCCTCTGTCTGGGGCACTTGTGGGCCAAGACCCCCTCCTTGGCTCCTGAGTTTTGGCTCCTCAAAGCCTTAGTTGCAGTTCACTGAGAGCCTCCGGTCTCAAGTGGGTTGGCAGGGGTGTGCAGACCGGCAGTGAAGCCTCTTGTCACAGAAACCAGGACCCTGGGTTCCTTGAGGCCAGGACAAGCTTTCAGGGGAGTGTCACTCTAACCAGCCCAGCCCACTCTTCTCTTTGCCGGCTTGGGTTAATTCTGAGAAAGGCTGCACGGTGGGCCTCAGTGTCCGGTCTGATGAGCGCACACGGCTGCACGCTTTGTCCTAGTTTCTCACACCTCACAGGGCATCAGGAGGGGCGCAGCAAAGGCAGGAGAGACCAGAGGGTGGAGGGGAGAGGGTGGGTGGGGCAAACTGTTTTCCCTGGTGAGGGTCTCAGCCTAACACTGGAGAGAGGCTTGGTTGGATCTGTGTAGGAGCACTGGGACACTCAGGAAGATATCAGGTGGCTCCTGCTTGCCACCCCCACTCCGACCCCCTAATTTGAGCCCATGGCTCTTCTCTCCCCCTGGAGCTGCAGCATTCAGCCATCCAGATGTCCCCTTGTCCCCATCTGCCCAGCCACAGGCCC